ATGTGCAGTGCTGGGAACAGCAAGGATACTGCGCAGAACCCTCAAGCTTCCTGGCCTCTGGTAGAGGACCCGAGCTGAATGAGGGATGGACACCACCCGAGGGGTGAGACGAGGATATTTTTATATATATATATCTGTGTGTGTGTGTGTGTGTGTGTGTGTGTGTGTATATACACTTGTGCCACCGAAACGGGATGGCAGCAGCAACACTTGCACCGCTGGAACGGGATGGCAGCCGCAACAGTTGCGCCGCCGGAACAGGGTGGCAGATGCAACACTTGCACTGCCAAACAGGGTGGCAGCCGCAACACTTGCATCACCAGAACGGGCTGGCACTTGCAGCACTTGCGCCGCCGGAGCGAGGATGGGTGGCAGTGAGACTAGGCCTCTGAACCTGCGGCGTCCTTTTGATGGTTGGCCCATTTCTGCCACGTTAGCGAGGTGGTAGGTCGAGGACCCCAAAAAGCAGAGAGGCAGGGAGGTGCAGGGTCTACTTAAAATGATTTTAACAAAAATACAAGCACCAAGCAGATACAAACAATGACAAAGAATGACCCAACATTGACTGGTCGGGCAGGGAATCCTTTTTACAAAACACTGTTGGTCACAAACAGAACCACCCTAACAGAGAGAGAGAGAGAGAGAGAGAGAGAGAGAGAGAGAGAGAGAGAGTTGAGACAGAAACTTTCTTCAATAAATGAGACTTGTTCAAACATTGTTCTGGACTCAAAAGTATGCATTACATCTGTACTTCAAAATAGTTAATAAAAATACCTTCTTCAGAAGCTTTATTTGTCATTGACCCAGGTACAAATGATTATGGTAACCCAACTTTAACATTTCCTAACAACTTTGCTGGAAACAGACACTTTAATGACCCTTTCAATGTTGGTCGCTGGATGGCATGGCACATCTGCCTCACAGTTCTGAGGTTGTGAGAACGCTCTGGATTTCTTGTGTGGAGTTTCAGTGTTCTCTCCATGTAATCCACTTTTCTCCCAAGTTCCAAAAATAAGCAAACTAAAATTATCTGTTTGAGTGAATGGTTGTTGGTTGTTTATTGGTGCCTTATGATTGGCTGGCAACCAATTCAAGCTATACCCCACCTCTCACCTAGTCAGTCAAGATGGCAGGGGTCCCCAACCGCCGGTCCGCGGACCGGTACCGGTCCGCCGGGCATTTGGTACCGGGCCGCACAGAAAGAACTTGCCTTAATTCAGTTTTATTTCGGAATGCAAAAGATGTTATATTTTGAAAACTCCCGGATTCTCCGTTACATCCGTCTGTGTCACGCTTGACACACGTCAAGCCACGCTTCTCCATCACGTGACCGATTACTTCAAAACAAAACGCAGAAGCTCGCAAAATGAGTAAAAAAACTGCTGGAGATCGCAAATCACGGCGGCCTTAAAAGTACGTTCGAGACAACTGGATTAAAGTTATGGCTGAATACTCTGAGATCGCCACAATAGCACTGTTGCTATTTCCGACATCTTACCTGTGTGAGGCGGGGGGTTTCTGCAGCAACGGCGACGAAAACAAAATTACGAAGTAGACTGGACATAAACCACACACTTGAGGTGTCATTGTCTCCTTTTACCCCGAGATGGGACCGTCTGGTTGCAGAAAATCAAGCTCGGTGCTGTGGTGAGTCGTCATTTTCATGCACTTTGAATTTGCGTTGTATCGTATTTTGAAGGCATTAAACATTGCCATAGCGATCGGAGTGTTGCGGCCAGATTAGACGCTCCTTGTGTTTATTATTATATTTCAAAAACACCACAGTTTTCATGCAGCTCATACCATATTAATTTCTTGTATTATTTCCACCACACCTTAAATGCCGGTCCCTGAAAATATTGTCTGACATAAACCGGTCCGTGGGACAAAAAAGGTTGGGGGCCCCTGAAGATGGGATTCAGTGTACCCTCGACTCTTGTACGTATAAGCAGTAAAAGACAATGAATGGATGGATGGATGTTGGTAGCATCCCTTAGTACAGAGGTGGGCAAACTACGGCCGGCGGGCCAGATCCGGCGGGCCGGTCTTTTTAATCCGGCCCGCCGAAGGTTGGTACAGTACACAATTAAAGTTCGATGTAAATGATTGCATTCATTTCATTTGCATTTGTAATGTCAGTCATTTCAACGCCAGGTGGCACAATTACTTGAAGTTGCAGAGCAAAGGGAGGGAGGGGGAGACGATACGGAAGCCGCTAACTCAAGTAACTCCCGCTTGATCCGACGGAATAAGTGTGTCCGCGCCGCTATTTATATCATTGGATCCAAAACTGCGACATGCAAGTGACTCTTTATTGCAGTGAGTTTTACTGGAATTGCGAACATTTTTACGTCCTGTCTATCATGGCATTCAAACGAAGAGGAACAGTAATGGCCGCGGAAGAGAAAGTGAAGTGTATCTGATTAAACGAAGCAGGTTACAAAGTACGAAACATTCAGGAGACCCTTGGAGTCTGAAAGACTCAAATCTACGAGACTTTGAAAAACAAGGAAGCAATTCTTGCTCAGTCCGATTCTGTCAGTTTCCATGCTCAGATTTAATTGCTTGCGGATCGACGGACAGTCGAGTAAATAAACGTTTCCTGGAATGGTTTGACTGTTATCGTGCTAAAAACTTTATGCAAACTGGACCGCTAATAAGAGAGCAATCGAATTCCATGGTGCTATGGGCATCGAAGACTTCGAAGCGTCCCGTGGCTGGGTTCAAAAGTTCGTTGCACGACATCAACTGAGCAACGTTGTCTTGTGTGGTGATCGAGGGGAGGTCAAGTTCGAGACAGTGAGTGAGTGGAAAGAAAGCCACCACATCTTTTACTCCTCTCATTTTGTAGCAAATAGACCTAACTTTGTTATATTTTGTCATATACCTGTTCTGTATGCTGAAGTTTTTGGGCAATCTATTGTTGCACTTTGTTGCTTGTGTTGTCACACATGTATGTTGTTAACATACTTGGACGTTCATACAGGACACATACTATAGTTGTTTCACTATTCTCATTAAAGCAAAGTATGGTAATACTTTAATGCTTTTGTGCTGTTGATGGTTGGTATGGACTGTCAACATATACAGTTTTTTTGTATGTACCGTATCTTGTGCTGACCCGGCCCACCTGTCAAATTTCGAAATCAATGTGGCCCCCGAGCCAAAAAGTTTGCCCACCCCTGCCTTAGTACGTTGAAAGGTTCTCTCGAGGGGTGTGGCAAAAAGTGACTTGAATCTGAAAATTTTACTTTTTATTTGAAAGATGCAATGTATCACATGAAACTAGATCTTGTACATACTATTGAATAATTATGAATAAATTTGATTCTTGTAATGACTCTTCTATTGAACAAATGAGTAATCCGGAACCGAGAATCTTGTGAATCACTTTTTGAACCATCCTTAATTCATATTGCACCCCATGTATCATGTGTCAATATTCATATCAAATCGTGTTTTGTTGGAGATTATTACCCTATACCCTATTATTACTCTACAAATCAGTTACTATTTTTAATTTAATAATTTATACTTTTTGGGAAAGATTAATAATTAAACAACATATTTAAATGATGAAATATCCATCCAGCTGTAGCCTATCCCAGTAAATACAGTTAGGACAGAAGGAATTGCATTCTGGGCTAATTGCCAGTCAGTCAGAGGGCAATTCGGCAATGGCCAGGTATTGAGTCCAGGATGGTTGTGTGAAAGCCATCTATTTGATCAAGTATACTGTCATTGACTGAGAAATTTAGCAATTATCAATCGAAGTGTATGACACGTGGAAAAAAAATCATTTGTTAGGTGTCTCTTCCTTTAGGTTCATCCACCTGTCCAAATTCTACTAACCCTCTATCACCCATCCATATTCAACATGGCTTATCCTGAATAGGGTCGCGGGGGGTGCTGGAACGTATGCCAGCTGACTTTGAGTGGAAGGAAAACTACCCCCTGAACTGGTCACCAGTCAGCCGCAGGGCACATATAGAGAAAAACAACCATTCACACCCACATCCTCACCGTCACTGAGTGGGAACCGATCCCTCGCTGCCCACAGGCTAGTGTATCATGACACCATCAGCAAACTTGACACTGCACCACAAAGTTGAACAAAAAAAAAAAAGGAAAAAAAAAAGGAACTCCATAACCCAAAAGTGCTGTCTAATCAATCTGTCTCATCAAACATAAACGGCCTGTTTGCCAAATTCTATTTCATTGCAATCATCCATACAGGCATCATGACCTCTGGGAAGCCCTCCTGCCTTTCAACAGCCAAGATCTCGAGGCCAGCCTTGTAAATAATGGTCTTCATGATATCCAGGTGTCGACTTATGCTGCTGTCAATGGTGTCCAGCTTACATCCCTGTCGTGCCATATTGTCTTTTATAATAATGACACCATTTAAACGCAAACTCTTCTTACAGCGAATAAGGAAGTTCATCAGGTCTTTGTCTGTCAGGTGGCCTACAGAGAAACAAATAAAACAGATAGCAATGAAGACATTACTTTTGTGGACACTTAAAGACATATTCTCCCATTGACACTTAAGTCAAATCTTTATGCATGTTCCTTGTGCAATTTCTAGCCGCAACGATTGTGACACACCCACAATGTGACACACCCACCATGTCTAACCTGGATATATGTGCGTAACAACCAAGGAGTAATTTGGTGACGTCTGAGGGTGGCCCTAATTTCACGGGACATGAGAATTTCATTTAGTTTGAAAATATGTCACACTTTGATTGTGAAATGAAATTGTGTCTTAAATCGGGATTGGAGGTCATTGCATGTCACTTGTGCGCATCTTGAAGGTGCCTGTGTTTTTCTTGTATTTGTAATAATTCCAAGAAAAGCAATATAATCCTAATAACGTCTTCATATCGGAAAGCTTAGGAAATCGTGCAAATTGAAAGTTGACCAGGTTGTCACGCAAGGCACAGCACGTGTGGCGCATCAAATAATCCCCCCGCCGCCCCCCAAAAAAAATCAAAAATTGACCGCACATGTTTGTGACTTGTGCTTCAACTGCAAGTCCCATCAGCATGTGGAAATGCTCCTCACAAAAGAAAAACAAAAGTCCACTGGCACTCATGCTTTTTCACCATTTAATTTGATATAAGGGCAACTTATGGCCGTCATTGTAACGTAGTAATGACACACATCCAGCTGTTGGGCTGTCAGTGAGCATATGTAGGACAGGTGTGCTTCCTCGCTACGTCAGCATGTCAGGACGAATTAGTCGAGTCGGCGAGTAACAGTCATCACTCGCTGTCAGCTGCTGCAAAATGTGTCACATGATGAAATATGACGCTCGATCTGAGTACCCCCCACCACAGTGCAGAGGCTGCGCTTAAGTAAACGGGAGAATGCATACACTGACACATTTGTCATCGTCACACTCATGTCTGATTTTACAGTTTTTAAGATGCCTCAGCTTGGCAATTAACTCCTTCAGTGCTACAGAGCATTTCCCAGGCCAGACGAGAGACATTGTCTCTCCAGCATGTCCTGGGTCGCGCCTCCTGCTGGTGGGACATGCCTGAAACACCTCAACGGGGAGGCGTCCAGGAGCCATCTGAATCCGATGGCTTAATCTGGCTCCTCTCAACGTGGAGGGGTAACGGCTCAACTCTTGAGTCACTCCCGGATGGCTGGGCTTCTCACCCTATCTTCAAGAGAGTGCCCGGACACCATGCGGAGGAAACTAATTTTAGCCACTTGTACCCAGGATCTTGTTCTTTCGGTCAGACTCATAGCTCGTGAGCTTAGGTGAGAGTAGGAAAGTAGATCGACCGGTAAATCGTAGGCTTTGCCTTTCAGCTCAGATCCTTCTCCACCACGACAGTCCGATTTGGAGTCCACATCACAGCAGACGCTGCACCGATCCACCTGTCGATCTCCCGCTCCCTCCTGCCCTCAATCGTGAACAATATCCCAAGATAATGAAACTCTTCCACTTGGAGCAGGATCTCATCACCGACCCGGAGAGGGCACTCCACCCTTTTCCGACTGAGGACCATGGTTTCAGATTTGGAGGTGCTGATCCTCATCCCAACCGCTTCACACTCGGCTGCGAAACGCTCCAGTGAGAGTTGGAGAGCCCTGATTGAAGGAGCCAACAGGACTACATCATCCGCAAAAAGCAGAAATGCAATACTGAGGACCCCAAAATGGACCCCCTCAACGCTTCGGCTGTGCCTAGAAAACTAATGTATGTACTCCAAATAAACGTCTACTTTAGTATGAAGCGTCAATTTTATATGCAACTGGAGCAGGGGTGTCAAACTCATTTCATATTGTGGGCCACATTCGGCCTCAGTCGATGTCAAGTGGGCCGGACCATTAAAATTATACCATACTCTGCTATAAATAACCAAAATATCATGTCTTTCCTTTGTTTTGGTATAAAGAAGCACAAGAACTTTAGGAAAATGTTGAAATTTAGTGAAAAACATCTTTTCACACCTTACAAACTACCTATGTGTAAAGAAGAAAGTCTTCACATGTCCTGTCAATGTGTCAACTTCATATATGAAACACACATACTCATACAATACAGAGTGAAAATTCGTGGAGTTGCATGAACAGTAGAATTTCACCACACTTTTTTTGTAGTAAAGTTGCTGACGAGCATTGAATTGCACATTTTTCACCACAGTAAGGATTCATCTTCACAGAGCTGTATTTTTTCAATGCAAACAGTATCTAAGGCTGCGTTTTAAAGGCGTTAAATCTAGTCTGGACTTGTTTTTGTTCCTGATACTTGGTATCTTTTGGCCTGTACAAGTGCATCAATATCAGGTGACATTTCCTGACTAGCTGTCACTTTCAGAATGTCATTTAAGTGCGTGTTTGTGAGCCTTGAACGCATTTTTGTTTTATTGATTTTCATTACTGAGAAAATTTGTTCACAAAGGTAGGTTGTCCCAAAAATGCACAAAACTTGAGCATCCAGGGCTGTTAATTTGGGGTACCCTGGTAGTAGATACTGATAAAATTTGTCCAAACTTACGGAGGCAAATTTTCCCTTCTAATCTGCATCACATTGCAAATCAATTATTTCTAGCTGGATTTCAACTGGCAGATCGGAAGCTTTAACTGTGAAAGGTGAGCGAAAAACTGAAAATTCTACCTCAAGTTCACCAAATACCTGAAAACGTTTCTCAAACTCCCACAATCATCCTGCAATCTTGTCTTTGAACCTTTTCATGTCCACATCAGGTCTGGTCACACACGCATCTCTCAGACAAAGGAAATGAGCAGGGTCTCCCACAAAGTCAGCTTTAACTTAAATGCATGTATGTTGTCAGAAAACTGTGACAACTTTTTTGCGCCCTTGCAACATTTTGTTCAGATTGTTCAAGTGTTCAGTAATATCCACCAAAAATGCAAGGTCCTGTATCCATTCCTGAGATTGTAATTCCAACACCGGTTTTCCTTTTTTCTTCATGAACTGTCCGATTTCCTCTCGTAGATCAAAGAAATGCCTCAGCACAGAGCCTCTGCTCAACCATCTCACTTCAGTGTGGGATGGCAGGCTGTGGGTAATGTTGTCACTGAGACGTTTATCAAACTGACAATGGTTAAGTCCTCTGGATCGGATGAAATTTACAGTGCGAACAACAACCTCCATGATGTGGTCCATTTTCAATGACTTGCAACACAATGCCTCCTGATTCAATATACAGTGAAATGTCCAGAAACGATCTCCTCCATTCAGGACTTGTACTTTCTCTCTGAACTTTGTCGCAACACCGGCTTTCTTTCCTACCATCGATGGTGCGCCGTCTGTAGCCAGGCTGATAGCATGGAACCAGTCCGCTCCAACTCTGTCCAGTGCAGCAACAACAGAGCTAAAAATGTCTTGGTACCAACTCAAGAAACTGTTCAGTAACAGTCAATGTCTGATCAACTCCACGAATAAATAAAGCCAGTTGTGCTACGTCTGTAATATCAGTGCTCTCGTCAATTGCAACGGAAAATGCAATAAATGACTTGACTTTTTGCTTCAATTGGTTGTCTAAATCTGTTGATAGGTCAGAAATCCTCTCTGCAATTGTATTCCTCATCAGGCTAATATTGGCAAGTGTGTTGCTTCTCGGGACAGAATAATTCAGCCGCCTTCATCATGCATCGTTTCACAAATTCACCGTCAGAATACAGCTTTGATGCGCATGCTATTTCGCAAGCAATTAGGTAGCTGGCTTTTACCGCTGCTTCACTGACTTGTCGGCTATGTAAGAAAGTTGACCGCTGTTTCTTCAGACCTGCCTGCAATTCGTTGATTTTATCGGTTCTCAGTTGTCCTCGCAAGCCGTCATATTTTTCGCCCCCGGCTGATTTTCAGATTTTTACATCACTAGCCACTCTCATCTCTGTGGAGGGTGCAAAACTGGGACATCAAGTATCACCACTGAGCCCTCTGAAGGAGGCCAAAATACTCTAAACATCGACAATGGATGGTGCCTACCAGATGACCAAAAAGTTATGATGATAATTCAAGGGACTGCAGCATTTTAATCCTAATAACTCCACTTACATGCCACCCACTGCATCCAGATGACATCATACTTGTTTTTTGGAGGTGTAAATTCTTGTAGGTTATAGCAGTAGTAGGTCTCAATTCGGTCTGCATGATCACCCAGGTAATTCTCATGTGCATGGACAAGGAAGTGCTCCATCATGTCTGCCATCTCCATTTTCTCAAACACCGGGAGGAGAACTCCTTTGGTCACACGACCAATACCGGAGCCGCAGTCCAGAGCACAGTGAGTGCCAGCCTTTCCAGGGCCCTTAAGATGAAAAAATGAAACATACCGTCAGAATAAAATATTTTTGTAAAAGTTTAATATCATAGATTAAGATGATTTGGAAACACATTTTTGATGTACAGTAAATGCCCCTCCATTTAGGAGTTTATATTCCAAATCCACACTTGTAAACACTTCCTTGTAAACAATCCCATCTTTTCCAAACTAACAAGCTTAACTTATCCATCCAACCATCCATCCATTATTTGCTCCGCTTATTCACACAAGAGTCGCGGGAGTAGTGGAGCCTGTCCCAGTTGTCTTGGGCAGTACACGGGGTACACGCTGAACTGGTTGCCAGCCAATGGCAGGGCACACATCGATAAACAACTGTTCATGCTTACAATCACATCTAGGGACAAATTTAGAGCAGGGGTGCTCAACCTTTTTTGACCGAAGATCGACTTTTCAAGCAACTGACCTCCTGCGATCGACCCGCTACCGCATGTGCATGCATACACACACACATGCCATGATGAGCAACAGCCACAATGCCCCGAACATGACCGAAAAAGAAAAATAAAGTCGATACAAGAACTTGTGAGTTTGTAAAAAGGAATCAGTGCCTACCTTCGTCGAAACCTGACGCGGTTGCAAGGGATGCACTTTGGCAGCATCTTGGGTGCAACAACGTCACTATCGTAGCTCGAGTGTATCGTTTTAAAATTTTTCTCCAGGCACTTCAGATTCCCATTCATTGCCAGTGTCATCGGTGAATTCCAGATGAAACAAACTTTGAATGAGAATAATAAAAATTAAAAGATACAAGGCAACAGCTGTGATCGGAAGCTGCAATTGCAGACTGCTGACCGCTAACAACTTCCGGTGATGCAGGTCATGCGGCGCCGAAGGTTAAAGGTGACCTGCTTTGTTTTATTATTTTATTTTTTAAATACTTTTTCGTGAACTTGAAATTGAGAGGTTGCTTAGGGTGCAGTTTAAACTACCACAAAAATATAGAATATTAATAACACACACACAGACACACATCTTTTTTTTTTTTTTTTAAATCCATTTCCCCCGAGTTCCCCCGCAATCGACTTGGGACCACTTGGCGGGGTACCGGTCCATCATGCTCGACTGGATGAGCACCCCTGACTTAGAGTGTTCAATCAAACCAACCATGCATGTTTTTTTGAATGCGGAAAGAACACACACCATTCCAGAGGGAGTTAAATGCAAATGGAGCTGTGTGAAGAAACACAAGGACACAGAGTGAAGCTCGAACGTCACTGATGGCCAGCACCGAGGAAAGCATGTGGGAGATGAAACGAGCAACAACTGCAGGCAAAAACTCGGGCATGGGAAGAGTTCAGGGAGGCCATAGAAGCCAACTTCCGGATGGCATCGAGGAAATTCTGGTCCACCATCCAACGTCTCAGGAGGGGGAAGCAGTGCACCACTAACACTGTGTACAGAGGGGAAGGGACGCTGCTGACCTCGACTTGTGACGTTGTAAGTCGGTGGGCAGAGTACTTCGAAGACCTCTTCAATTCCACCAACATGCCTTCCTTAGAGAAAGCAGTCTGAGGACTCTGAGGTGGGCTCTCCTATCTCTGTGGTTGAAGTCACTGATATGGTTAAAAAGCTCCTGGGTGGCAAGGTCCCAGAGGTGTATGAGATCCGACCGGAGTTCCTCAAGGCTCTGGATGCTGTGGGGCTGTCCTGGTTGACAGGCCCGTGCAACATTGCATGGTCATCGGGGAGAGTGACTCTGGATTGGCAGACCGGGGTGGTGGTCCCTCTTGTGAAAAAAGGATGACCGGAGGGTGTGTTCCGACTACAGAGGGATCACACTCCTCAGCCTCCCTGGTAAGGTCTATTCAGGGGTGGTGGAGAGGAGGGTCCGTCAGGAAGTTGACCCTCAGATTGAGGAAGAGCAGTGTGGTTTTCGTCCCGGCTGTGAAACAGTGGACCAGCTCTACACCCTTAGCAGGGTCCTCGAGGGTATATGGGAACTCGCCCAACCAGTCTACATGTACTTTGTGGACTTAGAGAAGGCGTTTGACCATGTCCTCCGGGGAGTTGTGTGGGGGGTGCTTCGTGGGTATGGCTTACCGAACCCCCTGATACGGGCTGTTCCATCCCTATACCACCGATGTCAGAGTTTGGTTCGCATTGCGGGCAGTAAGTTGGAATCGTTTCCAGTGAGGATAGGACTTCGCCAAGGCTGCCCTTCGTCACCGATTTTGTTCATAACCTTTATGGACAGAATTTCTAGGCGCAGCCGAAGCGTTGAGGGTGTCCGTTTTGGTGGCCTCAGTGTTGCATCTCTGAGTTTTGCACATGATGTGGTACTGTTGGCTCCTTCAAGCAGGGCTCTCCAACTCTCACTGGAGCGTTTCGCAGCCGAGTGTGAAGCGGTTGGGATGAAAATCAGCTCCTCCAAATCTGAAACAATGGTCCTCAGTCGGAAAAGGGTAAAGTGCCCTCTCTGGGTCGGGGAGGAGATCTTGCCCCAAGTGGAGGCGTTTAAGTATCTTGGGGTCTTGTTCACGAGTGAGGGCAGGAAGGAGCGAGAGCTCGACAGGTGGATCGGTGCAGCATCTGTTGTGATGCAGACTTTGTATCGGTCTGTCTTGGCAGAGAAGGGGCTGAGCCAAAGGGCGATGCTCTCAATTTACCGGTCGATCTACGTTCCAACCCTCATCTACGGTCACAAGGTCTGGATACAAGTGGCCGAAATGAGTTTTCTCCGCAGCGTGTCCGGGCTTGCTCTTTGAGATAAGGTGAGAAGCTCGGTCATCCTGGAGGGGCTCAGAGTCGAGCCGCTTCTCTTCCACATCGAGAAGAGCCAGATGAGGTGGCTTGGGCATCTGATTAGGATGCCTCCTGAACGCCTCCCTGGTGAGGTGTTTCGGGCATGTCTCACCGGCAGGAGACCCCGGGGATGACCCAGCACACGCTGGAGAGACTATGTAACCCAGCTGGACTAAGAACGCCCCTGGATCCCCCGGGAAGAGCGAGAAGAAGTGGCTGGGGAGAGGGAAGTCTGGGCTTCCCTGCTAAAGCTGTTGCCCCCGCGACCAGATCCCTGATAAAAAATGGATGGATGGATGGAACTGTTGGGGGCGTATCCGTCCCCGGTTGTTCCCTGGGAACTCAGTGTACACCACCCGTTGCACTCTAACAGAGAACCCGGACTATGTGGTCAATTCATCCACCAGTGTTCTCTGATTTTTAACCAGCAACCAACTACCTACTCCAAGGATAACAGCAAGGTTGCATTTATGATGAGTCTGTTGACTGGACTTCTTGGGCTACGGCTGTGAACAACGCTTAAGCGAAATACCAGTCTTCATTCCCAAACTTTATTGCTGAGGTTTTTCACGTATTCCGCCATCCCATCCAAGGCAGAGAGGCGGGAGGTCAATTATTAGACTGTGTTCAGGGTAGGCAGTCAGTTGCTGACTATGCCATTTCTTTTCGCATTTTGGCAGCAGAGAATGGTTTTGTAACTGCGTGCATTTTCCAACACGTATTGAGTCCTTCCGTCAAAGATGAGCTGACTGTTTACGATGATGCTACGAACTTAGACGAACAAATCTTGGCCATAAATTTGGACAGTCACGTAAGGGAGAGACGCCAGGAACGCGACGTGGTGCTCTACCGATTGTCATCAGAGTATTCAGTGTCCACAGGGGGTGATCTACCTGCGAGATGGCAAACCTTCCAAGGTCCCAGTGTTTGTTAAGTTGACAAAAAACCCATGCTGCTTGGGGCCGTATAGCTGTACCCTGAAGAAAGTCGGCCGCACTTTCTAACTGGCTCCTCTTTCTACTGTGGCCATTGAATCACAGAGTGTGCACATAGCCTATGAAATCATCATGCTAGTCCTTTCCAGTTTGCCCAGCTTGGAGGCTGTCAGCTAAACGCCACAGCCATAAGTTAATGTGAGAATGCCTCCACACATTCAGAATCAAGTTAAGCCTATGACTGCACCAAGAACATGACAAGACTGGAAATACCAGGATAGATCTCAGGGTATGGCAAATGCCTAAGGGTTAGGGCATTCATTGACTCAAATATAAAATGGAACATGTTCTTAATTTCATTGGCCAACGACAGCTTTGTGGATCTTGGTATTGTCAAAATGTTAGGCTGTCCGATTGAGGAGCTAAACGAAATGAATAGGGTGTGTGATCTTGATGGGCGTCTCCTGGTGAAGGTTAAGCAAATCACCGGTCCTCTGATCTTAATGCTCTCAGGTAATCATGTAGAACAGAGGAGGTTTTTGATCATACCGTCTCAAGAGTGTTAGTACTACCCTGGCTGAAGTTACACAACCCGGACATCGCATTGGGACTAAACGTCTCTCGAAAATAGGAGTGCGTTCTGTCATGCGCATTGCTTAAAGTCGAATGAGGGAGGGTGAGCATTCCTCGTTTCTTCACACTCTGAAGCTATATGTCTAGACAAAGTCCCACAAGAATACTCCAACCTAAATAAAGTTTTCATCAAGGACCGAGCTCAGTCCTTGTCACTGGACAGACCTTATGACTGTGCAATGAAACTGATATCTAACGTTCCTCTCCCCAGTTCTTGAGTATACCAAGTGTCTCAACTCAAACAGGAGGCTTTGAGGGAGTAACTTCTACATTTCCGGTCAGAGTGAGATTATTTTTCATCGAGAAGAAAGATAAGTCATTACGCCCGTGTATAGTGACTAGTGACTCTGGCATCAGTAGCCACTGTGCCAGGATTGACACATTTGTGGATGGGTACAATGAGCACCACCTGAGCATAAATGTAAAAAAAATAGTAAATGCTGTTTGACCCTTGATCAATTGGGGACCATAGCCCCATCTCCATAAATGGCAAGAACATCAAGCAGGTCTCCTCTTACAAATACTTGGGGGTTTACATTGATAACATGCTTAACTGGCAGAAACACATATCAAACGTCTGCTCGAGGATTCATTAGTGCCTTCACTTCTTGCGGCTTTTGACAATATTTGGAGTTGGCAGAAACCTTATGATGATCTTCTACAGAGGGACCATTGAGTCGGTCCTGGAGGACATGAGGGCTGTGTGGGGTGTCCATATGCCTGTAATTTTTTATGGATTTTGGATGAGTGTTGTGTTAGTCTGCACTGTATTTTGTCTACACTGCATTGTTCAATGTATGTAGCAGCATGGCGGGGCCTTGTCCTCCAAGACAAGTTTCTCCTGTGGGAGACTAAATAAAGTCAAATTCAACTCAATTCAATGAAAGCTCTGACAACAAATGTTTCAATTAAGTTCAAAATCGTCTTATCTTCTATTTTGTATTCATATTATTATCGTTGGCGGCACAGAAAAAAACTGGTTACCACATCCACCTCACAGTGCAGGGGTGCGGCATTCGATTCTGGCTCCGGCCTTCCTGTGTGGAGTTTGCATGTTCTCCCTGGGCCTGCTTGGGTTTTCTCTGCATACTCCTGTTTAATTTCACATTCCAAAAACATGCATAGCAGATTAATGGAACACTCTAAATTGTCCCTAGGTGTTAGTCTGAGGGCGGATGGTTGTTCGTCTCTGTGTGCCCTGCAATGTCTTCTGACCAATTGCCTAAAGACAGCTGGGATAGGCTCCAGCACTCCCGCAACCCCTATGAGGATAAGCAGATCAGATAATTAATGGATGGATTATTATAGCTGACTCCAAAGGAGTCAGTACCTCACCAGTCATGAACCTCAGAGCACGTCACTGATTCTGAGACAGATAAATGTTGAGCTTCTCTCCCTAAAGTGTTGCATGTTATTTCACAGATGTTTTTTTTTGTCTGTAGTGTAATAACTGTCTTATTCATACAAATAAAATCCAGCAAAATTATGCAAAAATGATCTGTGATTGACAGCAAGATTTGTGTGGATGCTTGTCTCTCAGGAGTGACATAACATCAGTGTGAATGCTGTCAGTTGAATGTTGCACATGCACAAGCACAGGTCTACACACTCTGGAATCATGGGAAAAAATGCTTTTATGATTTAGCCTACATTTTATCACTCTGTTGGAATGTACTTTGCAAATACGTTTGAATGTGTTTTCAAATACATTTGAATGTGTACGATTTCTAACCTGACACACAAGTACACTGAAAGACTCTACCCGCCCCTCCCTATCCTCATGAACTCATAGGGTACAGCTGCAGCACAAACACGGGAATAGGAATTGTATTGGATCAGAATTACTAATTGTGAACTTTTTAATGTTTTCAAACTTCCATCCATCCATCCATTTTCTGATCCACTTCTCCTCACGAGGGTCACGGGGTGTGCTGGAGCCTATCCCAGCCGTCTTCGGGCAGTAGGCGGGGACACCCTGAACTGGTAGCCAGACAATCACGGGGCACACACAGATGAACAACCATCCACACTCACATTCACACCTAGGGACAATTTAGAGTGTTTAATCAGCCTGCCATGCATGTTTTTGGAATGTGGGAGGAAACTCGAGTACCCAGAGAAATCCCACGCAAGTACGGGCAGAACATGCAAACTCCACACAGGAAGGCTGGAGCTGCAGTCAAACCCTGCACCTCTGCACTGTGAGGCCAGTGTGCTAACCACCTTTTTTTAAACTTAAATAAGGAAATAGATTGGTGGGTGGAGGGTGACGGAGCTAGACAGATTTTTGATGGGGCTACAGCACCCCCCACCCCTTGTGTAGCGCTGTGCATATACCGACTGATGTAAAGCATCAACATTTCAGAATTGTATTTTTTTAAAATTCTTTTTACATTTTTGCATCACAGACCCTAAATTAGTTGTCAACCTAAATATTCAGTGGTACGGTAATATTTTTTTCCAGTCACACTTACCACAAACCTCTTTAGAAATCGGCGGGAAGTCTCCAGATCCACATTTGATATTTCCACAAAGTCTCCCATCATTCCCTCTTCTGAAGCTGGGACATCCTCATAGAACTGTTGCGCTTTGTAGTAGAACTGTTTCTCTCCTTGGATGTACTCACATGTGACTGGAAACAGTTTCACTGTCAGGGCAAATAAATACATTTACATTGCAATACATTTTCACACATAAAAGACCAAATATACGTGTCCAATATTTATTTCATTGTGGGAATTCTGAGAGTTGAGCTTTGACACAAATACCATAGTGTTTCAATGACATTAATGCAGATTTCGGACATAGCTACCCTGTTGGCAAAAATGAAAGGATTTACAAACAGGGATTAACATTAACACTCGCCAGCTTGCCAATCGAGGGTGAATTTCAATTGACAGCAACACCCCTGCCAGCCATTTTTGCAGGTTGTATTTTGAAATAAAATATATACCAAGATTGGCCTACTAGTTATGATATGTATGGCTTAGTTAATTAATTTAGATGGGAAAAGTGCCTAAAAGCTGAAAAATACACTTTTCTTGTGATTTATTGCATTTTCATGTCAAAATTTTTGATAGAATGTGGGCATCCATATGACCACCAATCACGGAAGTGATATTAAATGTGTGTCATCTTGCTGCAGAATCGCAGTTAAGCAGTGGCAGGCACCGAATTTTGGACCGTCAGTGGGTATTTAGTGATCAAATACACCACTTAACGCCATAACGTCATAATATGCACAAAAAAAAACAAACAAAACAGAAAAAAACCCACAGTTACAAAACTGTTCTCTAAAAACACATTTGAAGATTCATGGACGATTGTCTGTATCGTCTCCCTTCCAAGCACTCTCACCCACATGCATCGATATGAAAGAGGCCGATGTGTGGGATTAAAGAAGAGCATTTCACGTATTTGAGGATATTACCCCCCCAAAAAATAAAAAAAATCACAGTTACGTTTATCTTCCAATACATCACCTCAACAACTCTAACCCTCACAATATAGTACTGGTGCTAGAGTTCTATCCTAGGGATGGCAAGATTACCCATGGAGTGGCCGGGCTATCTCAAAAATTGCATTTTGGGGCGTTTTACTTCTAACCTCCACATTTTTATTTATTTATTTTTTTAACAGAATCCAACATTAACTCTTCAGCTCATTTCCATCCATCTATCCATTTTCCTATCCGCTTATCCTCACAAGGGTCGCGAAGGGTGCTGGAGCCTATCCCAGCCGTCTTCGGGCAGTAGGCGGGGACACCCTGAACCGGTAGCCAGACAATCACGGGGCACACACAGACGAACAACCATCCACACTCACATTCACACCTAGAGACAATTTAGAGTGTTTAATCAGCCTGCCATGCATGTTTTTGGAATGTGGGAGGAAACCGGAGTACCCAGAGAAAACCCATGCAGGCCCGGGGAGAACATGCAAACTCCACACAGGGAGGCCGTCGCTGGAATTGAACCCGGTACCGCTGCACCGTGAGGTCGACACACTAATCACTGGCCCACCGGGCCGCCATTCGTTTGTATTTTTTTTTTCTCGCGGATGCTGCACCTTTGAAATTCCAATTCCAATATGCCAGTACCCCACCATGGCCAGGACTGAGAGGGCCATTTGTAGCTGCTCACAGCTGTAATTTTTCTTTACCTTGAGCAATATTTATGCCCCAAAGCCTCATCAAAAATGTTGCCAACCACCCAAACTATAGTTTAAATGGGAGAAAAATGGGAAAGGAACTCTTACAGGTGCACATTAAGAAAATTAATACAAAAACAACACAATGAGACACTTTTATTGATCCATTTGTTTGTGCAATTTCATTACTACTCTTTTGAAGTCATTCACTGCCAGCCATCTCAGTTAATATCTTTGACATATCAATGATAGTGAATAAGTTTGAAAGATGAATATTGCGGGTAGTTAGCCTAATCAGCAAACTATACACTGGATGGCATGCCAATCAATTACAAGGTAATTGTAAATGGTGGCAGGGATCCAACACAAGCTGCACAAAAGTCAGCACATCAAACATGAATAATGACCCCTTCATGATTGAAGGTTTCACAGTAGGGAGTGGGGGGGGGGGAGCACAAATACAACATTTACATCTGTAATACTTGCCGTGTCAAGTTGCGGTCTAAAAGGTAAGATATCCTTTATTTGTCCCACACTGGGGAAATTTACAGTCAGAGTTCAGAAAGGAAACCACTACGTAGGGAGAGTGAAAAAAAAACACGCTCGAACTTTCATCTTCTGAGGATAATTTAAGTCCAGGATAAAAAAAAGACCCTCGCACATAAATAAGCATATGACAGTTACAACAAGTCACAAGACATAACATGTAATGAGGGGGCGGATGGATGGGAAGGTGGGGTGGGAGGAACGCGACGCGGCCCGTCCGACCAGCTGCACGGTCCACTGAGCGCTCCGCAGATCAGTCTACGTCGCGGGAGAAAAAAAGGGAACGATGAAGGCGGTGATACAAGGGTGTGTATGCGCGTGTGATTGTCTGGTTGTGTGTGCGTGTCAGGCCGCAGCTGCTTCGTCAAGGTCTTCTCATGGAGACAGTCCTGGCTTATCAGTCAATAGCCGAGAAGGAGGGGGTGATGGTAGGGCACTAGCTTCCATGCGTACGTTCTTCCAGGGGAAAGGTCAAGATAGCAGATGTTTTGGGAACGGCTGCCAAACAATTCCAGACAGCCTTGAGTCCGTGGTCTGTGTCTCTTCAATGGCGCCGATCAGCCAAATCTGCGATTTCTTTCTTTTCTGAGCGCGGATCCCAATTTCTCCAAGTTGTTCTCCATCTTGCAATGACGCTCCAAAACCGCATCCATTTTTGCGGTTTAGCTCAGTCACCGCTTCAGTCTGAGTGTTGGACATCCGTGCCGTGTCATCCAAAAAGACCAGCAGCTTCTTCACATCCAATAAAGCTGCTCCCGTCGGTTGACTTTTACGATAGATCAGGAAACTGCTAACACCAAACAGCAGCATACCTGCTATCAGAAGGCTGATAATGTAGATGCCTTCCACATCCTCAATGGACAGTATTGACAGGCACACCATTCTCCACTTCCTCCAGGGATCTAGGGTGTACTCGGCAGCAAATGTCCCCCAGGGGCAAGGAGGCTCCCCACTGCCTGCTCTTCTCGTCGAGAAAATTTTGTCGATGGCATCGAGAGACCAGCCAACCAATTCCATGGTTTGTTTTTAGGATGAAAATACGGCAGGAGGCTAGGATAGTCAGACAAGGACAGCACATAGACTGAGTGGCGAGCAAGGGAGGGTGAGGGGAGGACAGGAGCAGAGCAAAAAAGCGTCCATCTTCGTCGAGAGCCAAGCAAGAAAGGTGTAACATTTCTTTTTTTATTATTTAGTTATGTAACATTTCTCATGTTTTCTGAAGTGTTTCACACTTCATAACTTTAATGTACAGCCGGCCCTAACTAATGTGGCACCCTGGGGCAGATTTTATATGGCACCACCCTCCAACGACGATTTATGTGCACTTACAATAGAACAGCATCATTTTTAATATTGCCTTTAATTTAAATGATAACATGTCACAGACTTTCAAATATAAAAAAAAAAGGCATTTACTGATTTTCTTCATTTCATGATCATCATTATTGTGAGTGATTTGCTGCTGTGACATCAAATTGGAGAAGCCAAAACAAGCAACACCTTCACCTTTCTTGCTCCAATTTTTCCTCCTCTTATTTTCCTTCTCAGTGGTCTGGACAATGTTGGTAATGTTGTTTACAAGCTTCTCTGGGGTCACAACAAATGAGGCTGTCAATGTTGTTTTAACTTTTTAGTTGAACATTAAATAATAAAGGTTGGCACGGTGACAACTAGATAGCATGTCCGCCTCACAGTACTGAGGCCATGGGTTAGATTCTGGGCTCCGGCCTTCATGTTTGCATGTTTTCCCCGTGCCGATATGGGTTTTCACTAGGTAGTCCGGTTTCCTCCCACATTCCAAAAACATGCATGGTAGGTTTCATTGAATGTTCTGAATTGTCCCTTGGTGTGATTGTGAGCATGAATATTTGTTCGTCTCTGTGTGCCCTGCGATTGGCTGGCAACCAGTTCAGGGTGTACCCCGCATACTGCCCAAAGACAGCTGGGATAGGCTCCAGTATGCCCGTGAGCTTAGTGAGGATAAGTGGATCAGAAAATGAATGGATGGATGAATTAAATAATGAATATACAGTATGTGTCATGTGAGGAGCAGAATTTGGATTCAGAAGCAGACAGGTCACAGAAGTGGAAAAGTATAAGTCTTTATCAACAAAAATATAAAATAAAAACAGAGAGCAGGGTCGGATGCAGAGCATAAAAATACAAAGTAGCAACCAAGAGCAGGGCTGGATGTAGAAGGCAAGTTCTTACGTTTCACTGAGCAACTCGAGCTTGAATACTAAAAGGTGACAGCATAAAAGACCGCAGCAACTGACACTATCAAGAACCCAACCGAAAACATAGTCACACCCATTGAACTTGTTGGTTCCTTTGTCTCAGACACATTTTTGTCTTTTTCTTGATAGGTTATTATTCACCTGACATGCATTGGGGAAAATGTTACGACCCCTCCACGTGATGGTAACTGGGGAAGTGTCTATCATAAGTGTGGGAGTTGGGCAGGAGGAAAAAGTGGTGCGCTGCCATGGTTTGGACTATCTAAAAAAACGAGAACTCACACGGGGAGCACAACTTAACAGAACACATGACACAACACAAGACTTCTGAATCCCACTTTCTTCCCACGAATTAATTAGTGGCAAAATGAATGAACCAAAACTAGTGATGGCAAAATTTCCGAACACATGAATGAATTAAGTGGAGAAACAAATAAATGGCTGATAGCAATAGTGAACAACTAAATTGTTGCACTAACCAAATTACGGTGGTCCCAAAAGACACATGAGACAACACACACAACCCAGCCAACCCCAGGCACTGACTGCACACAACACAACACTCCCCCGCCCCACCTGAAAGCAAAAGAGTCTTTTTAAAAATGGCGGTTAATCTTTGGAGGAGGTGGCACACCTGAAACTATATTCACTAAATGTGTGACTCTCCGCTATATTGATTTCTAGGCTGAGTTAGGAACTAGGGCCACCAATCAGAAAGGAGCAGGGTGAGAGCTCCCCCACACAAAGATTTACCCCAACACAAAAACACAGAACAGTCACGAATATCAGGCCACAACAAGAAGTCTTTCTCTTTCTTCAGAGTGACACTGAAGGCGAAAGACGCTGAAACATGTAATGTAAATAACAAACTTAAATAAAAAAAATAAAACAATGTCTAACATAAATATTAACCAACAAGTTCAATTCTAAGAATTAAGAAACAGTATGAACTTTATTCATTCATATCGTAACAACCAGTCACAACATTTTCATGTTGTTATTGCCCTTTATTTTTTATAATTTTACTAAAAAATAGATTACAGGTATTTCAAATTTTCTTGTTCAATCATGGAATAATTTTTTCATCTACCACTTAAACTCCAATTACCACCATCAAAAACTGAGAAGCAACTAACCCGGGCAATCAAGAGTTGATTCACAGCAGGCGACACACAGTGCTCAAATCGCTGCTCTGCACTGGTCAAGAAGGCTCACAACAATAATTCAGAGAATAACTAAACAGCAAATCCAGAAATCTATTTTTCTTTTTTTTTTTTCATGTTCCTTTTTTACATTAATTGGAGAATTTCTAATTGACCAAGGTGAAGAGAAACACAATCTGAGTCCACTCCATCTCGACATCACCAAAAAAATAAATCTGCTGAGTGAAGCAGAGGGAGTCAACCTCAAGTGTTATTTCTATGTTGATTAAAATGCCTGTGCATTATTACATTATTCCATTGATCTAGTATCCAAATGGCTTTATCCTCACGAGGGTCACGTGTGTGCTGGAGCCTATCTCAGATGACTTTTATGGCTGCAACATGTTCCAAAAAAGCTGGGACAAGGTCATGTTTAAAAGGTGATGTAACACAGTGTTTACATCACCTTTTCTTTTAACAACATTTAATAAAGGTTAACTCATTCACTCCCAAAGACGTATTTAGATTTCTTTTCAGACGCCACACATTTAATCCCAGCTCCTCATTTTATATTGACTGTTTGAAAAGGGTCTGAAAATGGCTGGCCAGTACAGTCAATATAAAATGAGGAGCTGGGATTAAATGTGTGGCGTCTGAAAAGACATTTAAATACATCTTTGGGAGTGAATGAGTTAAGGAACTGAGGACACTAATTGTTAAAGCTTTGTAGGTGGGATTCTTTCCCATTCTTGCTTGATGTTCCGTCAGTCATCTGGAAGGTTATGGACAGAATATGACTCTACAAATGTAGGCTCAGATAAAGACGAAACAAAAAATATTATTTTACAGAAAAATGGCGCAAGGCCGACAAAGTAGAAACAATGATGCTGGTCAACTAACCAAGATTAAACGAGATAAACAAAAAGCGCTTGCAAAAAGGAAGGAAAATACAAATTAGAGTTGCCTGTCTCAGAAGGACAAGAGAACCAAATCACGACTAATACAAAGCCAGAATCGATTACTGAACAAAAATGACCACAAACAAGAAAACGGAGAACCACAAATGAGGCAACAGAAAATGGAGAAAAATCTGGGAATGTCTAGATTATTGCACTTGAACAATGGCTTGAGCAAGGTGAATTCTACAACACTTAGTTTTTGGCGGCGACCCAGTGATCGACTAGTTAGCGCGTCGGCCTCAAACTGCAGATATATCGGGTTCAATTCCAGCTCCGGTCTCCCTGTGTGGAGTTTGCATATTCTCCCCGTGCCTGCGTGGGTTTTCTCCGAGTACTCTGGTTTCCTCCCACATTCCAAAAACATGCATGGCAGGTTAATGGAACACTCCAAATTGTTCCTAGGTGTGAGTGTGAGCGTGGATGGTTGTTCGTCTCTGTGTGCCCTGAGATTGGCTGGCAACCGGTTCAGGGTGTCCCCTGCCTACTGCCCGAAGACGGCTGGGATAGGCTCCAGCACCCCCCGCGACCCTTGTGAGGACAAAGCAGATCGGAAAATGAATGAATGAATGAATGAATGAGCAATTTAGGGAAGCTCCTTTTATACCCACTCATGGCTCCCACCTGTTCCCAGTTAGCCTGTTCACCCGTGGGATTTCCAAGCAGGTGTTTTGAGGAGCATTGCTCAAATTTCTGTCTTTTTTTCCACCTGTCCCAGCTTTTTTTAGAAAGTGCTGCAGTCATAAAATTTCAAGTTAATGATATTTGCTAAAAGCAATTAAGTTTATCGGTTAGAACATTAAATAGCTTGTCTTTGTAGTGTAGTTATTTCAAATATAGGTTGAACATGATTTGCAATTCATTGTATTCTGTTTTTATTTATGTTCAACACAACATTCCAACATCATCGGACTTGGATTTGTACAAATTTAGGTCATGTCAACTGGCGATCCAGCCAATGTACTTGTATGCATGTTTCTGTTGTGGTAAATGGGCTGTCAATTACATAGCGCTTTTCTACCTCGGGTACTCCAAGTGCTTTACACCATTACCACATTCACCTACTGATGACGCAGCATCAGGAGCAACTTGGGGTTGAATATCTTGCTCAAGAACATTTCGACATGGTCGCAATGGCCAGGGATCAAACCACCAACGTCCGGGGTGGGAAACGACCACTCTACATGCCATACAAAATGTTAGTGTTGATAAAATAATCATTTTATACTTTAACTGGCATGCCTTGAATTGATTGCATAATTGGCCAATGAGCTCAATAGATTAATTTGCCTTTAGATGAATATATGAGTGGTCAAATTATCTGTTTTTGAAGAGTAGTTGTTTTGAGACATTTGATAAAGCAAAATTTAAGTCTGCAATCATAAAAGAGACAACTGGACCATCTTACCGAGAGGAATCTTCTCCAACAGGTACAGGTAGCTGGCAAAGAAGTCACTCCTCATTGTATGGTGCAAGTGAAAGGACATGCTGTGGCGACACATTGTTTCATCCGTCTCTTTCCAGCGATCCCTAAATGCCTGGTGAGCTCGCTTGTACTCAAAGTTGGGACAGGAGTTTTTACCATCTTCAAGTGAAATCTCCATTTGAACATATGTGGCCTTGTTACAGTCTGCTAAATATCCAGTTGAATGGTTCCAGTGGAGAGAAACAGAATTCCTGATTGGACACAGTCACTTCAGCTGCTAGCTGCTGCTTTATCTGCCAAGATGAAAGTTTAACACATGTCCTGTCGATGATCAAATAATTCAGTCGTATATATTTTTCATGAAGCAGTGCTGAAAAAGCACTGCACATCTTACCGATCACTCAGTTGGTGCTCTGTCTTAAGAGTGAGGAGCCTTGTGTCTCAGCACAAATAAGTTGAGCAGAGGTGAGTGAATTTTAGACTCTGAAATTCCAGAGAGTCCAGTAGGTCATAACTCAACCCCTTGCTGCCATGTAATGTGGCTCCCTAAAATTGGCACATGTATCGTGTCTTACAACACCCCCACCCAGTTTTTCTGTAACAGCCTGGTAGATATCATAGGGGAAAAAAATACTTATCTGATATCTCTGTCAGACATCAAGATTTTGTGTTAACGGTAAAAAATGTTTTCTCTCATTGAGATACACAGTATATCCTTTTGAGTTAAGAAAACTTCAACAAAAGTTTATTTTGAAAATGATAGGAATAATGGTTGGCCATTATGAATATCTTGATGTAACATGTGTTCTAACTAAAAAAATTAAGAACCACTTTTGCTGTATTATGATGAGTATTTTTTCAATGCATATTCGCTGTAAATGTTTTAAACAGTTACATTTGAAATTCCTGTCAACCCAATATATAAATATATAAATGGGAAATTTGAATGACCACAGAGAACAGTTTTGTAAACAACCTGACCAAATTTGAATGACTTGGGGAACAAAAGTCTTCAAAATCATGAAATATTGAATGTACTGAAACCACACATGGGAGGTTTATATATATATATATATATATCTCAGTGGCGGATGCTGGTCTGTCAAGGAGGGGGAGCTCAATTTCGGCCTACATCATAAAATGTGTCCGTTTATTTATACGTGGATTCTACTCTCTGTTCCTTTTCAAGAAATGTATCTGTGACCGTGTCAGACCAACAAGGCGTCTTTTCCAGAGACGTAACTAGTGTCCTACAACGACAGCAACTACAATAAAACCCACCAGAAATATAAGATTAATTTGTCGCTAGTCATTTTCAACAAAGAGAGTGTCGCTCAGATGATTAGAATAAGTCTCCATTTCAACTCAGAACAGAATGAGAATTGAAAAATGCTTCCACGATGCCTACACCAAAAGATCGGTGATTGGCTCATTTCGGTGTCAATCAAAAATATATTCAGCCTCAGACAGATCATCCAATCAACATGCAGAAAAAGTCGGCGTCCTGGCCAGCCCATAAACGCCCATTGTCCAAAGACTCCCAGAGAGCTGAGCGTCCGATGGGCGGGACAAAACCAACATATATCAAATAACTCGTCTCGTTTCAATGCATTGGGACAATTTACATGAACTCTCTCGATGCCCAGCGTCCACGCTGTAGGCGCTCAGCATCCACAGTTTAAAGCAGGGGTGTCAAAGTCAAATGGACGGAGGGCCAGATAAAAAAATTTTGCTGCAAGCCGAGGGCCGGACTGATCGAATGTTCATTGAAAATTTTAAAAATGACCACATATTGTTTATTGAACCAAATTTAATTGACTGAAAACCTAACAAATACATTCCAATACGGTCAGATAAATAAAGCAACATTTTTTATGGCTATGTCAGTAAACTTTAATTTTCAACAGGCAAAAAAAAATTTCCTTTGTATAAAAATACC